GAAAAAAAAAAAAAAAAAAAAAAAGTAAACATTAAAAGACAAAATTACTCGTTTATTTAGGTCTCGTGGTGATATCACTTGGAATATTTTGTTTTGTCACAGCTAACATCAACTTTGGGTCACAAACCAAAAGATTCCCAATGGAAAAGAAAGATAAAAGAAAGAGCTCATCTTCTTTCACACTGCCCACTCTCAACCTCTTTTCGTACACCGTTCTAGAAACAAATAACCGCATGGTTTCTACAACGGTTCAAGCCCACCGCTAACATATATTGTCTATTTGGGCTTTCTCCTTCAAGCTTTTCCTCAAGATTTTTAAAACTCGTTTCGGTAAATTTACAATACTACAGAATTCACAGCATTAAACCAAGTAGTGGTATCTTAGAAGACTTGGCTGTAATTTTCCTACAGTAAAATGTAACTAAGGTACTTCTAAAATATGGTGTAAGAAAAGAGAATGATGACTACTCAGATTGCTTCTTATGTTTTAGAATCAATCATAAAGCTATCTATCTTCCATCATTAGTAAGCAATTGGGAGAAAACTTTGGTTGTACTTATGTCTGAATAATTACCAGTACTTTCATCTGAATGTCTCCTCAAGTTGCTAGGATGAATTGCTGTGGATGTTGGGAAGTCGGAGTCCTCGATGTCCACGGGTTCCAATGGTTCGGTCTGTATCCCGACTTGTAGTTGAAGAACATATTCCAAGTTCCATAACACATCTCCCATGGTTGGTCTGTCAATACCATAGTCAGCCAAACATTTTTCTGCTGTTTCTCCATACTTCTTCAACGAACTCGGATTGATTTGCCCGACTAAATGTGGATCGATAATCTTTTCGAGCATGCCTTTCCTTTGCCAATGCAGTGCCCATTCCGCAAGGTTTACTTGTTCCCTAGCAAGCAATGGATCAACAGCAGGCCTAGCACAAAGAACTTCAAAGAGAACTACTCCAAATGAATAGACATCCGACTTATCAGTGAGTTGTTGTCTTCGAAAATACTCGGGATCTAGATAGCCGAAGCTGCCTTTAACTCCAGTACTAACATGGGTTTCATCGAGACGAGGCCCGGATCTTGAAAGACCAAAATCTGCAACTTTAGCAACATAGTTCTCATCCAGCAAAATGTTGGTCGACTTGATATCACGGTGGATGATGCCCTGTGCAAAACCAGTGTGGAGGTAGTGAAGACCTCTGGCTGCACCAATGCAGATTTCGAGTCGTTGCTTCCACGACAACGGTGAGACAATCGGGCCATACAATTGCTTTTTCAATGGACCTTTCTCCATATATTCATAAACCAGTATCATTTCAGACTGTTCATCGCAGTAACCAACAAGCGAAACAAGATGGTGATGTCGAATCTTGGACAAAATGGCAATCTCAGTGTGGAATTCAGGCAGGCCCTGACGTGATCCTGGCACACCTCTCTTCACAGCAACCTTTATATTGTCCCTAAGAACCCCTTTGTAAACCATACCAAATCCGCCCGAACCAATGATCAAACTCTTGTCGAAGTCGTTCGTCGCCGATTGAATATCAGCAAAGGGGATCTTCAAGCTGTGGTATCCATTTGGTCCAAAAGATGTTGCAAGAGTTGATCCCCTTGATAATTTACTATCAGAACTGCCTCCTCCATACGCCTGAACCGATGTCCAACCTGCACTCTCGGCCCGCCTCGGCTTCCTCTTCTTCCTCCTCTTGCAACCCAAAGCAAGAATTGCAGCCACAACCAAACATAAACCAACAAATCCACCAACAACAGGTCCTACAATAACCCATAAATTTCTCTTCTTCTTCTCAGCTTCTGAAAACATATCCTTAGCATTCACCATTTCCAGGATCTCTGCTCCATTTAAGATCGCATTATATCTCAATGAACTGCTCAGATCAGACGGTCCAACACTTATCTGAATATTCCCAAAACCAGCAGCATCCACAATGAAATCAACATAAAGAGGAGTTGAAAGCTGGTGAAATGAAAGAGATGACAAATCCAGATCCCTATATGCAGAATAGCCATTGATATACACATTAAAATACAGCTGATTAAGAGCAGAGCTAACAATATCACAGAAATGCAAGCGAATCAAGTGCTTCGCGTCATTAGATTCCAATGGAAAGTTCCAAGTGATGTTGAATTTTGCACCCAAAGTTGAGTTTTCCTTGTTCATCTGTTGCAATGTCATATAAACGCTGTCCGGCGCGTCCTCCCTGGTAGCGCCACCGGCCTGATAGTTCGGCGCGTGAAAAGTTGCGGCGACCTTTGCCGCCGATTTTAATACCAGAAAAGGCTCGTCAGGCACCCAAGTTCTCCATAGGCTGTCGTTGAACGGGGTCACCAGAGAACCCCCAACGTTAATTCTGTATTTCGTTTCCAAAATTTGTGAAGTGAGTTTATAATATTCTCGAACTCCATAAGAATCCACAAGCTTAGCTCCATTATCGGTAATGAGTTCTTTAGGAGCTGAAAATACCTCGATTGCATTTGCGAACCCGAAAACTGTAGTCGAAACCGGTTTGAACTCGATTTCAAGCACATTGGTGTCAATTCTCACCATAAACTCTTTAATCACAGAATCGTTAACGCGAGAAATCATAGAAAGAAAAGCACCATTAGCCCAGATAGTAAAATTTGCGGAATGTAAAGCGAATTCCGGCGCCGAAAATGGCGAAAGATGGAACCGCAGCACGTGAGTACCGTTCTTTTTTATGTTGAATCTGTAGCTTGAGGCGCTGGTGAAAACTCTGGCCGTATGATACAAAGGCTCAGAATCCGGAGGCGGATTTCGGTTGGAAACCGCCACCGATCGGCCGGCAGTGAGAAAGTCGGAGGCGGGTTTGACTGAATCGCCGACGAAGGTGCGGTTAAAGAAGGTGGGACTGGAGGATGAGCCGCAGCTGAGAAGAAAAATGTCAGAGGGAACAAACTCAGGAGAAGAAAAGGGAAGGACAAGAAGAAGGAGAAAGAGGAATTTGGAGATCGCCATGGGAGGCGCCACAGTGTAGCAGAGAAGGAAGAAGTATAGCTTTAGAATAAAAAATGGAAATGGAAATGTTTTGCTGTGGGAACGGAGCCACAGCAAGGTGATAGCGAGAGAAAGAAATTGAAAGGCCAAATAATAAGGGCAATTTAAATCTCATCTTTGACAGTTGTTATAATGTTGTAATGCATATTTTCTCTAAAAGGATAGCATAACATGAGACCATCACCTACTTCCTCTTTGCTCTCTCCATATCTTAGGATCTTTTTTAGGGTCAAAGTCTCAATTCAATTCTATCCTGAAGAAGTATATATCATCAAGATATCAGATATTTAAATCTCTCATTCAAATGTCATTTTATTTTTTTTTTTAAAAAATCATTAATATAAAGGAACAAATAGGAAAGATAATTGAATTAAAACTTTGGTGTTAATAAATCAGAATGATGCTCACTTTTTAGGGTTGAATTTTTGGCATGAGAAATGATTATTTGCACTCATATTTGGATGACCAAAGTTTGGAAGTGGGGGAGGATAGTGGAATACACAAAGCATACAAAATAGTGGTTTGAAGGGCTATTTTGGCATTATGGTGGTAGGGAGACTTCTAATGTGTTTAATTGAAGCCCAAATTAATTAAAAAGATATGATTTTAACAACTTAGAACACATCTTTCAACCTTTCTAATCTCTCAATAATAATGCAATTAAGATTACTTAACTTTGTGACAAAGCATGCTTCCCAATAAATCATCATAATTCTTTTATTTAAACTTTTCATAAATGATCCCTAGACAAAGAATAGCCAAAGATATTTTGACGTAAATATTACCCAAAATCAAGTTAATATTTCTTTTTAAATGTTAATATTAATTAAAAGAATGAAAAAATATTACCTTATAAAATTATTAGTAAATGATCAAAAACTTAATTTGTTAAAATATTAATAATATCTTATATGGTCAAACTAAATCTAAGTTATTCCACAACTTTATTGGTAGGGATAAATTTACAGCTAACTTTTAATTATTTAGGACTAAATAAGAAAATAGTTTAGGTAAAGTTTTCAAAAGTTTATACTAAGAACGATTAAAAAGAGGGGAAATTTTTTTTAGCCTATTTTACACAAATAACTTAGTTTTTTTCTCAGCCCAAATGTTTGCAAAAATAATAATATGTAACATATATTTGAATCTTATCCAAATATATATAATAACATATATTAGGTAAATTTATCAAAATTGTCTTATCTTTCGCGAGTTGTTCATAATCACAATTGAGTTAAAAAAATATATATATGTTCTATACCTACATCTTACACGTTAAGTGTACCACTAGTCGCTAATGAATAATTTATCTACAATCTAATATGAACTAAGTTCCTCTCGAGTTAATGAAGTGGTGGAATCTTATTGTTCAAGTCCCTAAATCAACTCTTAAAGAAACTACTCATGAAACTTATTCTCGAGCTCCCCACAAGATTTATGAATCAGATACAAAATTCAATAAAATAAAGAAAAAACAATTATTAAGTATTAAATCAATAATCGCAATAGTTTAAAGGATATATGCAAACATTTATTTCATTCTATTTATTTTGGAATAATGTGGGGATGGGAATGGGGTGTAATCCAATCCAACAACTTTATGGCTATTGTGAGGTGGCATTTTACAAAAGTATTTTCCTACTCAAGTAGACAGTGTATAGTGGCGATAGGGAAATTTAGGTGGTGGGAATGCAAAGTGTGGGCCCCAAGATAGTGGGTGTGGTGGGTGGGTATCATTTTCATTAGCAAGCAAAATTCTTTCTAATTTTTCCTTATGCATCCTTCTATTCTAATTATAATCACATCACCTTTTGGACTCTCTTCTTATCTATCTTATCTATCTTTGCCATGATTGAAGGGAAGCAGGATGGAGTATTAAGGAAACTAGAAGAAAAGAAACTTACACTTCTCAAAGCTTCAAACCTGTTCAGATGCCTCTTGGTCCCTCATGTCATGTTCGGCTACAACATCAAACACGACATATGTGTGAAACCTTTAAAGTGAAACGCGTTAACAATCAGTCTCTAAATTTTCACTCCACTAGCTTTATCAGGTAAAACTGGAAATGCATTGCATAATTTAAAGAGAGAACCTGATTCATTACTGTAGATGACCAACCATGTTGGAAACATGAAGTCCCCAATAAGAAGTTCATGGTCTTGTGTTCTTTCTCTTTTCTTGTGTCGATTCAAGTGAGCCAATGTACAGGAAAAGATTTCAATCCAAAAATTCTAGGAATTACATTTATGCCAAATTCAAGTGAGAATACTAAGGTTGTTTCCTTGGACAGAAGAAATAGAAAAAATTTACTGAAGGGTCAAATATTCAACAAAATAACAGCAAACTCACGTTATGAAACAGGAAACAGACACAATTTAATGAGATAGTTAATCCATACATAAATTCATCGCTTAAATACTGCTTCAAAAATGAAGGATTGAGCCACCAAACAAGATAATTAGGCAGGCAGAGAAAAAAAATACGTCCAACTTCAGAGGATATATGCCATACTAACCAGGTAGCTTGGCCTTTGCCTCAGAAAAGTTGATAGAGGAGGCGGCTCCCTTCCGGTGAATTTAGCATGACCTTAAAGAGAGTGTACACAATGTGATTAAAGAGCCAAATGAATTAGACTTGGCCGCCTTTTAAGTCGGGTTGAAATTATATCTCAATAAGACTTCGCAAAAATGGCAACTTCCTCCGCAGCGTTACCGGTCATCAAGCATGTTTTAGGTCCCTGTGGCTGTTCAAAAGGAAAGCACCTAATTGTTGCTCCAGTTTCTTCTTTAACTTTCAACTCATCTTTGTCACTGCAAATACGATGAAGAAGACCATACAGAAGCAACCAAAATTATGCACAAAAATACATCCACAACGATCATTATCTACAAAACTCAAGAAATGAAAATAAGCATACCTAGCTGACCAAGGACCCCTAGCCCATTTTCCCTGGGAGATTGCCTCTTTAAGTTCATTATATGAACTCACATCCACAACGTTACTGCAAAAAGGAGGTCATTAATAAAATAGTGAAAATCTTATGAAAAGGGCGGAAAATGCAGGTTTTTCATATACTAAGATGAAATAATTATCAAGTATACAAAAAAAACATTTCAGTCCCATGACAGCTTTAGAGCTGATACCCTGTTAAATTAATCGTGCTGTTAAGATTAACCAAAATTTTATTTGTTTTTACATGGAGAAGCAAATGACGAGGACAGGAAGAAAATGAGGGTGAAGATGGGAAAAATTTTCTTGAACCTCACAATTCAACAGAATATATTTACATTTAACCACCTAAGTATGTAATGTTGTACTACAATTTGCAAGAAGCATGCTACTCAACATTCAATTGCTTCAATTCGCAAAGGATAAATGTAACTGAACGTAGATTTATATACTTAATAAGAAACATCCCTAACATATGAAAGTAAGAAAGCACCTGTCACGAAAAGTTTTTGCTTGTTCCAGAAGAGATGATTGGATTTCATCCAACGTGTCTTTCACATAAGCTTCTAAAATAGAAGGTTCCATGGATATCCCAAAAACTTTCCCTTGCTTTCCAGGAATATCTCTCCTAGAAATAACCACACTTTGATTTGCAACATCCTTGGGACCAATCTCAATCCTCAAAGGAACGCCCTACAAATCCAAGTCTAGTTACAGACATTTGATTTCAAGTTAATAGCAACAAATGCAAAGAGGGAAGAAGCCAAAATCTAGGTGAAAATAATGGAGCTAAAAAGGGAATTGGATCATTCAAAACTATCAAGAACAGACATGCATACATCCTGTAAAAAAAATGCTAGCCAACCAACCTACACTACAGAATATTCTTTTTAAAACTAGACTCTAAGTTGTGAAAATAATAATAAAAAATACAGAAATTATAACAGAGAGAACGAATATCTACTGGCAGATAACCAGTCTGTTAAAAAATTGAACATTAGGGTTTGTTTTTTAGACAATATTGTCCTAACCTGAGGGTAATAGAACTGTCAGACATTGATCTTAATCATAAAAAATATGCAGTTAAGCACCAACCTTCATTTCCCAGAAATTGAATTTCCATCCTGGAGTTCTCTGTTCAGAATCATCGAGTTTAACCTTTATCCCTGCCGTTCGAAGATTTACTTCTACAGAAGCAGCAGCATTAAGAACTTCTGCTTTAACACCTTCTTTCTTCCAGATTGGTACGATTACCACCTAGATATAAGTAAGGTACATATAAAGATATTTGTTAGAACCGACCGGTGGACTCAAAAAAAAAAAAAAAAAAAAAAAAAAAAAAAAAAAAAAAAAAAAAAAAAAAAAAAAAAAAAAAAAAAAAAA